CTCCAATGATATGACGGACACTTCGTGCAAATGCGTGGTCTGTTCATCCGGCCAACTCGGCCACGCATGAGAGTGTGTGCATGTACGCGCGCGCAAAAGCGCGCGCGTGCACACACATCATGTATTCCGTGCGTATGGCGTACCTGTTGCGGAGATATGAAGATGGAATCATTATCATGATGTTACATGTACAGTGTATGTTTGAGTGTAAAGTAACTTTTATTATATTACACATTTCTTCGACACAACTTACTCCACATCTTCGCATTTCTCATAATCCATCCACCTACACTCCGTCTCAGTTGAGGAAAAACTCTCCCAGGTATACACTAGTCACCACAACCATGCGATGACATTGGGATGGGTCCCAAGCACGATTGATTGCATTTGTCCAGATTATCTGTGAAGACAAAATGCAATGCATTGCGGTAATCGATGGATGAAGAGAGAGTTTGTAAATGCACAAATCTTTCCACTTGTTCAGGAGCTTACCTTTTGGAGTTCACATCGTTTACACGATCTCTTATGCTGTCTTGCACCTTGGCTTTGTTGACCATGGATACGCCATCCCAGAAGACATTCTACAGGAGCTACTAATGCAGAGCGTTTTTGACGCTCGATCTCGGCGATCTACCTCGTCACGCCAATAAAATCCTCCGTGACACTGGCTACAGTCACAAGAGACGTCTCAGTAAGGTAATGAGCACGACACCGCCGTCGAGATCAAGGACAAAGAGAAAACAAAACACTCACTGAAAACAGCAAAGAAGAAACGAAGAAATGTACACGATTCCTATACGTTGCCACTGACAACTGGTTCGGTGGAGACGACGCTACTTTTGTTTGTCCCCAGTGGGATCGTTGCTATGCATATCGAAGGAACTATGACGTCATCACTTTACAGCCCCATAGAAAAGCTGACAGGATCGCTTTTCTAAATGTCATGCATTGCATTTTGTCATGCATAATAATGTACGCGGTACGCAAGGCAGTTCTGTACATGTACTGGTGTACCAGCGCGTACTTGACTGGAGGTTTTTCCATGTTTTACCATTTACATAAATTTGTGTTTCGGAAATAAATAAATAAACTTTTGGTTTGGGAAAGATAATGGTCGATGGCGTTGTGAAGTTGCTGTAGCCGTTCCCAAACATTTGGCGACCACGCCAGCGTACAGCCTGGGATGGGGGATCCGGAGGGAACTCCAAATTGGAGCCAGTCGCAGCAGAATTGGAAGTTGTCCAGTCTGCTGTTGCGATCCGCGAGCCGGATTTTATCGCCATGGGCAAAGTCTATGGTAAATCGGCCGACGATTTGCTGCGTTTGTGGAAGGGCGTCTGGAGCAATGGGAACGTCAGGAGGCCCAGAGCGCGAAGCTCGCGTTCAGGAACAACGCCACCAGGTGCAGCGGGAGCTAGAATTGAAGAGCGCCGAACAGGAGCGGAGTGGGCAAGAGTGTGACGGTCGCACGTTTAAAGGCGAGCGGGGCGGCGAGTCTCGGTTCGACGACGACGACGGCGACAGGCCCGGCGGAGCAGGCAGGATGGCCTCGTATCTCGATCTGTTCGAGGTTGTCATGATTCAAGACCGAGTGGCCGAAAAAACCTGGCCGCTGCGACTGCGAGCGGCTGTGATCAACACCAAGCTGGCAGGATCCGTCTGTATGGAGGACTTTGACAGTTTCGCCGACATCAAGCAGGGGTTACTGCTCCCGACGTGATTTCATCATTCCTCTTGCAGTAAAATCCAAAAACTACACGCAAAAATTCAGTCACTTTTGCATCCACTGTTGCACCGAAAAATGTTGGTGGCACAAGGAGAAGCTTGTCGTTTGGAGTGACAAGTGGTCGCCGCTGCTTTTCCTTGTCAGGGTCAAAAATACACCTTGTTCTGCAGCGTTGGGAGTGTGGTGTTCGAGTAGAATTTGCTGACTAGACGTCGCGGAGGGGCGAGCTTTCCTGCGCAGGTTTGAGTTTGGACGGATTTCAGAATGGTGGAGTGGAAAAATTCAAAATTGTTTATTTCAAGAAAACCCTAAAAGGAGGATGGTGGACATGTCCTCAGTGCTAGAAGAGATGTTCTAATATCTGCCGGTGTAGTAGTAGTAGTAGTGTTCTTTGATTTATAGTGGAGAAACCAAAACAAGGAGATCGCAGGGGACATAAAATAAAAAATAAAAAATTTCACGGTTCGCCGAGTTTTCCGCATCCGCCCTGGGATCGCCACCACCCTCTAGGATCAAAGGCGCAGATGCACCAAGGAGGAGACATGGCTAATAGTAAATAGTGGCGGCGAAATAGAGCAGTTCCAGCACAGCTACAGAAACATGGGCGTAAAGCTAAAAGCAGGCGAGAATGTGTTGCAAAGCGCTTGACGTGAAGGCGGCCAGTTTGGTGACGCCTCGAATATCCGCATGGAGTGAATTCCAGAGAACTGCGCCAGCATGTGTCACCAATTTGGTAGAATGTGCAGAAGCAGCTGCAGGGACGATAAGCAGGTTACTGTTGCCTCCTCAAGTTCTTCTTGGCGGAAGAGTTGTATAGTGTTTGCTAATTGAGAACGTAGCTCGCTGTTTTATCAGCGGTCTTAATTTGGCTATTTTCAAGACAATCATTTGTGGCGTCAAGGGATGATTGCCCTCGTCTTCTGGGAGGCTGGCGTGGTTAAGTGGTGCTGGGCCAAGAATGCTTCTAAGGTGAGGAAGTGTTTGCTGGATGGAGTTTTCTTCGTAGCGTATTCCTGTACGCTGGGCCGTGGCTCGTTTGTAGACCCATAAATCGTGTCAATATTGGGCCAATAATAGAGGAGTATGCCAATTTCATGGTTCCCTCTAAAAGGTTTTGCTCGGGCTTTGGAATGTCGATCTACACCCCAAAGCAAACCTACCTGCAAAATTTACGCGAAATCTGAGAGATCGACTTGCACAACGTTTCTGGTTTTCTCAGACATGCTCTCTTAAAAAAATAGGAGAAATGAAAAAATTATAACATCCCTATGCTTTTTTGCCTAGTTTATCACGGTCGTAGATGGGTGTCGTATTACTCTCGAATGCAAAGAGAAAGTTTCTTTCTTCTGCTCAGAGCCCTACGCTATGCTTTTTTGCCTAGCTCATCATGCATGTTATTCAAACAGATGGATTTTTTTTGCAATACCATGATGTAGCCGATCAGTTCGTTGTGGTATGGTTGGGCATTGTGGCCGTCATGGTCGATGTCGATGGTCGATGTAAAACACTATCGCCGAGGAATGGCAAACGGAAAAGATTGGAAGCGAAAAGAAAGAGTGAGCGAAGCGTAGAAAGCGGAAAGACGGGAAAGAAAAGGTACAGAGAAAAATATGTCTGGCGCTAGTTTACGTGACGCATTCCGTATATTTGTGTCATGTAATGTAAAAGGATTTTTCCAACCTGCTGCGAGCCACAGTTAATTGGAAACTCGTGGCCTGGCATGAGTAATACATGGATGTGGCAAATGGGATCGAGGCCTTTGGCCTCTGGTTAGTGGATCTGATCTATCCTGCCCCACCGTTTAGGAGCCGCATCTGACGCCTGATCATGGGGTGGTGGCGTCCCACGGAAGCGGAAAGGCGGTTCTTGACCAGGGAGTTGTACGACTCTTTGTTCTTGACCTGCCCGGTACGCGAACCCCGTCGAATTTATATATTTTTATATTACATTGTACTCAAGTCTGTGGACAGCAACTGTTTCGCTCTGTTAGAGCTCATCAGCACAGCTCAGAGGACCGAAGCGCAGCTCTTCGCAATGATATACGTTTCCGTAAAGCAAAGCATTTTTATAAAGAGCTGCAAACCCCGCCAATAGTGCTCGAAATGCTCCAAGAGCAGTGAGCGTTGCACAAGGCGAGCGGCAAGTATTTTTATGTTATGTAATGTAGTGCGAATTGTTAGAAGGGACAGTGCATGTAGGCCGATAGTATTATGAGCTAGGCAAAAAAGCATAGCGTAGGGCCCTAAGCTTCCAAGCTCTCTCGTTACTGGCTCATTATTCGAGTTAATCTCTATTGGAAGACAAATTAATAAAAAGGAAACAACAGAGAAAAAACATAAGAGGAAGGTAAAAGAGCCAACAACAGCATTACCGTACTGGGTTAGAACGGCAACTACATATACAAATTATACAATTAAGTAAAAATGGGGAGGCCTTCTGCAATTTCATAAACAGTTAAAAGATTGTGGAGCCCACACACTCTGTTCCGTTGACAGGGAAGTTGGCCGTTATTATGTCTGGTTTGGGAGCTTGCACATCATTGTGAACCTGACGAAGGCAATTCACCGAAACGTTGGAATAATTATTGTGAAATGAGTTAAACTATTGCAGTGTTAACGGAAGAGAGCGTGTGGGCTCAACAGTCTTAACTACATATGCAAAGTATCTACAAAGGCCTATTTCTACGCCTGTATGATGCCCGGGAATCTCTGATACATATGATTGACGGACCAAGCAGACACAATCACAAAATAAACAGTACCTGGCCCATAAGAACAGAATACTGTAAATCAAGATTCTTCTCCAATATGATAGCAACCAAATTCTTCATAAAAAGCGATGCTGTAGGGCATAACATGTAGAAAACATTTTAAAATGGTGTACAAGATCCTCTCTCGACATTGGTTACCCCGCACATGTAATTGCATGTAATCGCATGTTCCCGCAGTCAAGTGGTGCCAGAACATAAATATGATGAGTTGGCCTTTGAAAACCACAGGACACAGGTGCATCTATCCATGCTAAAGAAGGAACAAAAAAATCTCTCTCCTCCCCCCCACACACATGCGTGCTCGAAGGCGTGCGCACATGAGCACAAATGCACCCATTACTCATGTTCAGCATGAGGAATTGTCGTACAATGTACTTGTAGCTGTGAACGCATATCGTGTCGAGTGTTTAAGTCTGGGTCTTGTGCAGAATAGTACATCAGAATGGAATGACACACAATTGCTTCAAGTAACTTATAATTATTGCATAGAAAGTCAGACGACTCTTACAGATTACCAACAGCCTCGAGAAGATCTGTTGCGCCACTGTTCCTCTTGGACCTGGCAGAGAACTCCTAACGAGGTTTATATAGCAAGACATCACACAGGTAGTACACAGCGTCTGTTTCTAGACAACATACAATCGAGATGTGTGATGGATATGAGAAAAAAGCTATGCAACAATGCAGGAAATTCATACGTGAGTACGTGATATATTCCCGCGCTAGTATATTTTATGTCACTGACCATCATGTAGCAATGGCTGGTGCACAGAACATGTACAATGTTTGTGATTGAGAATTCGAATCTAAGCATTGCCGTCTTTCTGCGTCGTGTATTTCAGCGTCCTGCACTCTACCGTACCACTCTTAGTCCCGCTGTTGGCCATCTGAAGTAGAATCAGTAGTGGCTGTGGTTGTGGAAGTTTACAGCGCCACGTTCTTCCACGTATCACTGTTGGGCCTTTGGCTCCCGCTTTTGGACCTCTGGCTATTGGACATTCTGCTCCCGCTGTTGAACCTCCCGATCTCGCTGTTCTATTTTGTAATTTTCTCGTTTAGGGATTCCCCAAGGGCTTTCCCCCTATAGAGGTGGTTGCCAAACTTGCCATAATACTAAAGCAGCAAAAGGCAGGATGAGCAATAGTGGAGCGTTGGATGGTGAGAAAAAGCAATCTAATCCAGAGCTCCGCGCTGGAACCTGCAGCCACCGCTCTTGCTGGAGTTCCTGCCACTGCAGCCACCCTTCTAAACCCATATCAACCTCATACTCTTCGTTTGCCAGCTCTCGCACGCGTTGTTGGAACTGCAGCTCCAGCTGCTGGTCTGCCAGCCTTAGCATTCGCATTTCCTTCTCCAGCTCCCGCTCCCACTTCAGGGTATCCTTCTCCCTCTCTTCGACATACTCCTCCCTCTCTAGGGCTCCATACCACCGCACATTGGCGTCAACTTCCCGATTAAACATGTCCACCTCCTGGTCATGCTGGTGGACCTGCAGCTCCCAATCCCGCAGTTGGGCTTCTAGTTCCCGCTCCTGATGCAGTATATGCAGCTCACGATCCAACAAACGGACTAAGAGGTCCCGCTTTAGCGTTTGGTAACAGTCCCGTTCTACAGTGTCCCGCTCCTTGATGTGATGCACTTTGCAATGCTGTGACTCACAGATGGGACGGGTTTTAGCTTTTGAGACCAGCTCTTGGTCCTCTTGCCCTTGGCAGTTCGGCTCCTTGGCATTCCGCTCTTCCGCATCCCACTCTTTGGCATCTCGCTCTTGGACATCGCGGTCTTCGGCATCCCGCTCTTTGGAATCCCGCTCTCCAATGCACGACATCTTTATACACTGAAATCTATCTGTCCGTCGAAACAGGAGTTGGGAATGCTTCAATCACAGGTAGACAATGTTCTGACAGTCTGACTGCGTCAACTAATAAAGGGCCTTGATTCAGCCTACTGTGAGACGGATGCCACCATGCGAAGCACGGGTGACAGTGTCATCGCGGAGCAAACAGGCAATTTTTAAGCGAGGAGTTGCACCTTGGAGGGGGGGGGAGGAGGTTATTTAATGGCCATACTGAATGTGATTTAAGCAGCTTGCGGTGTAGACCACAGAGTATGGTCGCTGCTGAAGATCTTGTTGTTGTGGTGCGTCTTGATGATGGATTACTTGTTAGGTATCGTGGTGTGGCCGGTGTTGACAATTTGGCCATTGCTAACCACCAAGCCGCAGTTGGTACGAAAACGTTGCCTTGAAACCAAGTGTAATTTGTCAACTATCTAGACTTGAAACCCCAGTGCTATTTTTAGGGTCACACTCCCCCCATATACAACTCCCTATCACACAATTGCCTGTTCGCAATGCTTCGCAATGCATCGCAAAGACATTGTCATCTCCACTTCTCTTGCCAAAGCCCAACGCTTTCACTGGGACATTCACATCCTCGTGATTGACCTATCAAAGGCATTTGACACTATCAGACGTGACCAACTGATGAGTGTACTAAAGGAAGTCGTGAACGAGGATGGGCTGCGTCTGATACAATACCTACTCTCGGGAACAATGCTCCATGTCCGCCTAGGTAAAACGTCATCACCAACATTTCCGACAACTATTGGCACACCGCAGGGTGACTCCTTGTCACCGGTCCTGTTTACGGTATATCTGGAAGCAGCGTTACGGCAACTGAGAATGGAAGCAGCTCACAGACCCCATGCTGATCTTCACCTGCCGCTTGAGCTAATCTATGCTGACGACACAGATTGTGTGAGCACCAGTCGGCCGTGGCTCTCTCAGTTAGAAGCTACGACGAGTTCTACCCTGGTGCAATGGTCGCTCAACATGAATCATGACAAAACGGAGTACACAGCAATCACTAGACTCAATGATCACAACAAAGAAGAATGGAGATTAACACAAAAACTTGCAAGCCTGATTGGTGATGACGAGGATGTGCTGAGGAGGAAGCAACTGGCGACAGCTGCCTTTCGGGGCCTGTGAAATCTCTGGAAACGAGGCCAGCAGGTCAGCGAAAAGCTTCGCCTACGGCTATACCAAGCCTTCATCATCCCTGTACTGATGTACAACTCTGGTACGTAGGCGCTTACAATGACAGCTCAGGAGCGACTGGACTCCTTCCATCGGCGTCAACTGAGGTCGCTAATAGGCATCAGGTGGCCTCAGACGATATCGAACAACGCACTATACGCCCGATGTGAAAGCCAGCCGATCAGTCACACCATCAAGATGTTGCGATGGAAGCTATTCGGACATGTCCTCCGTCTGTCCGACAGCACACCAGCCGTCCAGGCAATGCTCAGCTACTACACCAGCAAGGACCTCAAGGGCTGGTAAGGACAGCTGAGGACCAGCCTGCCGGGTACACTATCTGCTGACTTGGAGGCAGCAGATGCCGGAAAGCTGAGTAGTCTGGAGGACTTGCGCAGAATCATGAAGATTGGAGCGGATAAGGCCGCGTGGCGAGTTCTGTGTCGACGGTTGACAGAAAAGGATCTGTAAGGGACGGATGACACTGCAATATCTTACTTCTTCTCAACGTACATGTAACGTTGTATGTTTGGATGGTGCCTTTGTTGCTGATCCACCACACCATCACTCAACGCTTTCTACTGCTTTGTTCACCCACCACTGACTTTATACTTCTGCGGCTCCTTTGCGCCTTTTCTTCTGATTTGTGCTGTTTTGGTTCTGATACAGTGATTGTTTGATTTTTTCCCACAGCGTATCATTTGTTATCCTCCTGCCTTCGTTGTCCAGGATAAGCGAGGAAGTGGACCTATCGGTCGACTTCAACGCGAAAATTCACATAATAATAATAATAATCGTAAAATGGCAATAAATAAGATAAATTGTGCACTCATAACACTAGCAAAAATGAAAAAAGTCTTCATTTTTGCTGTTGTTATGAGTGCACAATTTATCTTATTTATTGCCATTTTACGACTATTGTCTCCTCGTCGATTGTTTAAATAATAATAATAATAATGATATTACGATGTAGTGGTTGCGACTTCGGCGATGATTTGTAAGAAAGGGGTTGCTCCCCACACCGGAGCTCGCGCTATTCCGCCGACTTTACTTGTCGGCGAATAGCGCGAGCTCCGGTGTGGGGAGCAACCCCTTTCTTACAAATAATGATATTAACTAATAATAATAAGCGAAGGTCTTTGGTTCGAGTCCTGGTGGTGACAGTGAATTTTTTCTTCAGACTATTCCCGTTTGTCTCTTTCCCTCAAACCAGTTACTATTTTTATGACTTGGGGCTCCCCGCGTGCTAGTTTGTACGTGAAGTGTGTGGGTTACAGTGAGGGCTGCGGCCCACCCGCCTGTGTGGATTCACAGGAAGTGTGAGTTACGAAGTCTGAAGAAAATGTTGAACAGCCTCTGCTGGGATAACGACTACACCATAGCTCAGTGGTTAGAGCATCGCTGGCTACAGAGATACTGACCTGTGCGCCTGTGTGGTACTGACCTGTGCGCTCTGCCGGTTACATTGCACAAGTTTATTTTCAAATACCGGAGTACCATGGCTCAGTTCAGTTTTAATATTCCCGTAGTGAGAGACGCCCCAATAAAACTATTCTCCCCAAAGCCTTGACAACATCCAAATCACTTTTTTATTCAAAACCTCCCTTCTATGGAATTTTCTCCCACCAACATTGACTTCGGAATTTATTTATTTATTTATTCAACATCTCCTGGCCCGTCCGAAGACTGCCAATAAACATGAGAGGTCAGGTGATAGCCAACCACGGCAAGCTAAAAGGGAAAAAAAAGAAAGATGCTGTCAGAGAGAATCTTCTGTCCATGTATTCAAGAAAGAGCTGCACAAACATTCTTGTCAGTTTTCAGGTCTGATCGCATCCTAATAAAATTATTATCATTATTACAGTAAATGATGATCCATTGCAGTACACATTGTATGGTGATAACCCAATTGAGAATAGACCGATCCCCTTATTAATGTCTGGGTTCGAGCAAGGGGGCAACTCCGCAGTCGCGTGGGTCCCGACTTCACACACGCGACCTAACTCGAGGTACCTCGGCTGTGCGTGACTTCTCGCATGCGAAGTGCAGAGCACGCGAAATCTACATGCAGTGCAAGCCTGTCTACAACAAATGTCACAAGGACTTTTGATTTGAGCTGTTTGTTTTTGTTCAGACGGCTTCCTTTTTACGACTTCAGGATGCCTTCTCAGGATCATTGTTGCGTTCCTCACAAACAAGGCATTTCACTCTTTTACTTGTGTGGAGCCACAGCGGCCTGTAGCAAGCGGATCCAGGCTATTCCCCGTGATGAAGGACGTAGTTTTAGGGTCACTCTGAATATTCGAGTTCCAGCGACCATTTCGATCCCGAAATGGAAATCGTTTTGCCCAGCTCTACTAGGGCAGGATGAGTCCAGGAAACCAAACAGCTGTCCTACGAGGTTTGCTTTTCGCAAGAGAGTGGAGTCTGGACCCCCTACTCCCCAGGCTCGCAAAACATTATTTGCTGAGCCTAGTGCACTTCTGTCCTATAATGGAAGTGCAGCATCTTCATCACGAGCTCCCCATGCTAGCAAATCAGTATTTTGCTGAGAGGCAACGTGCAACGGGACTTTGAGTTGGAAAGGAACCTGGCTTAGTGCAGTTGGGTCCTGTAATGGAAGTGCAACATCTACATCAGGAGCTGGCAGCAAGTAGAGCTCGTGTACAGAGTCTCGAGGAGCAGTTGGAAGATGTGAGGACTGGGGTGAAGAAAGCCGAAAAATAGTTGTTTACGTACGATAACATAAAGGAAGACTCTGAGCCACTCCAGTTTCTGACTGGTTTGCCTTCAGGTGTTTGGACCGCTCTGTGGGACTTCCTTGAGCCTAGCCCAGAAAATGTACTGCGCCGCTCCAGATCTGCGAAGACAGAAGCTGAGGGACGGCAGATACAGTTGAAGGTGGCCGTAAATTGCCATTGAGCATATAATGGAGGATCAGCTGCTATTGGCATTGATGTGTCTATGCCTGGGCCGAATGGAACAGAAGCTCGCATGCATATTTGGCACAAGTCAATCACCCGTTTCACGGTATATAACTAGCCGAGCTGGAAAGGTTTCTTGTTCCGCCGTTTGGGCATGATCCTCATCTGAGCGAGCTGGCCAGATGTTCAGTCACCCATGCCATGTACGGCAAGACATTCTGCATTGTGGATGAAACTGTTCTATTTTACCATGCACTTAGGGTTCTCGCACTGGCACGACAAGACCCAACAGATCCTTTGCGCTCTTATTCTCTCCCATGGTAACATTGCTGTTCACAACACCCGGCAGCCAGTCGTTGATGCAACCAAATCAACCAAGTTCTCTTACTCTTTCTTTCAATGCTTAAACCAAAGGTATACCATTATTTGCATCGAATGCAGTGATGATTTCAATACTGTCCACCAGTACAACGCATTACCAGACTGGCATATGATCATGATAATAGATATTCTACGTGGAGATAACGAGAGAGCTTGGAAGCTCAGGGCCCTGCGCTATGCTTTTATGCTTTTTTGCCTAGCTCATCGTACATGTTATAAGAACTGATGGGAATGTTTTTTTCGTTGATTGGCCACATCACTGTATTGCAAAAACGTTTCAATCGGTTTGCTTATGAGTTAGGCAAAAGTATTTGCAGAATTTATTGCGGATTGTTATTTCTCTAATAATCATCTACTTTAGTTTTGCTCCTTCTTTTCTTTTTATCTCCTTATATTGGAAATCAACAAATTTTGGCCGATGAGAAATAGAAACCTCTCTATTAGAGAGGTTAAGATGCACGTTATTTCCGACGTGACGGGCAG